TTTCTCTCCGGACCAGGCGTTAAACCGGTTCTCTGTGAATTGACCGGTCAGTTGCTCAAGACTAAAGCTAAAAATTTCCAAATCTGTTTAGACTGGGTGCCTAACAAGGAGTTTTGATGTTGCTTCATAACTGCGTTGTCATATACTTATTGTTAGTTGAAAACCAACTGAACAAAGTCTGCAACTTCTCTGCCCTATAACAAAACGCTCTGTCACTGAATGACGACCATATCGTGATTGATCAAAATGAGTTTGAGATTTCGGTGGTTTAGGTCGAGCGAACGGAAATGTGCACGGTAAAGGTGGATCGATGCACATGTACGGTAAAAACTTTTACGGGGGAAACGGCATTGTCGGAGCACAGCAATCGATGGGCACGGGGATTGCTTTCGCGTTGAAATACAGGAAACAGAAGAATGTTTGTTTCACGTTGTTTGGCGATGGAGCTGGCAATCAAGGACAACTTTTTGAATGTATATTCTGCTTAGTTTGAACACGTTGTTCTTCCCATCCCTAACTAAATGAATAGATTGCAGCAACTGAAATGGCTAAAAGGGAATAATAGTATAAACAATGAATGTTTACAAACAATAAATGCACTGAATTCCTATTTGGTAGCGACGTGCTCATGTAGTTGGTATGTGAAATGAGATGCTGACACTGTGCGAGGGTCATCCGTTAAAACGAAAGGACACGAGCACGATGGACGACCGCACGCTTGCATCTAGCGTTTGATAGTATACACATGCTCGTGAACATGTGCTGTTGCTGATAAGTGATAGCTTGAAGTGCGAATCACTATTGTTTTCCTGCAGCAATGAATATAGCCAAGCTGTGGTCGATTCCTGTCATATACGTATGCGAGAATAACGGTTATGCATTTGGAACGTCAACGAAAAGGGGATGTGCTGCGAAGAATTACTACGATCGTGTCAGTTATATGCCCGGAGTATGGGTAAGCACTCCATATTGTATGGTGCTAAACAATTGCAATATTCACAAAAATCTTCAATCCGCACAATGCAGAAATCGTTCTTAACCAAACAATCGAGAGATTGCGCTAAGATGCATCGACTGTAAGGGACTTTGCTTTATCATCCAAACATCATAGCTGACGACTGCTTAAAGGTTGACGGAATGGACGTGCTAGCAGTACGTGAGGCTGCGCGATGGGCCAAAGAGTGGTGCATTGCTGGAAAAGGGCCGATGTTCCTCGAGTTCAGTACTTACCGTTACAGCGGTCACTCGTTGTCCGATCCTGGAACAAGGTATTTGATCAAAGTTTCTTGGAATAATCCATATCTAATCAGCCAGTTATGGTATCGTTCGCTATGACCTGCTCGTGAATCTCAACAATCAATGAGGATGGCTGAACATTCAATAGTCCTGTCCTCTCTGTTCGGCTGAGGATTGCAAATGGTCCTAAAGTAATGCTCTTCAGCTATCGAACACGCGAAGAAGTCGACAAGGTGAAAAAGACGAGAGATACAATTGTGGGTTTCCGTGAAAGAATCATTCCGGCTGGATTGGTAACCGAAGATGAACTGAAAGCGATTGATAAGAAAATACGCAAAGAGGTTTAGTGTATTTCTCGTAATCGAATAAAACACTTCATAGGTCGAATGGAATATGCGAAACCAAAGATCGTAATGAGTAAAAAGTTGTTCACACTTGTTGGAATGTTGTCATTCAACATTGCAAATTTGAAACTGATAGTTAACTGAGTTCAGATGAAACTGACAGTTAACGGCTTTCAGATTGATGAAGCCACAAAAATGGCTCAAACAGGAAAGGATGCCCCAGTTGATCTACTTTTGGCTGATATCTACAGCAACACACCGCCGCAAATGATCCGTTGCACGACCGAATATGTCAGACAGAAATACACTAATTCAGATGAGGCTTGTCGTGCACATGGAATATGATAATCTCCGATTTTTATGATTACTAAATGTATGAAAGAACAAATAAATGTGTATCCTTCAAAAAATAAATTTTTCGTTCTCATATAGCGCAGCAATGCTTTTTTGTTTCTTTTCATTAACATGTATTAATACCTCTCATTGCGGATGGTACGGAATTCTCCTCAGGGGAGGAATTTCGAGAATGCAATGAATGTATTACNNNNCTGATAAAATAAATATTCCGCCAATCGCTCACTGCGATTGACGAAACAACCACTCGACGTCCAAGTAATAATTGATAATCCGCAATGAATGTATTACTCGATCTTTTCTGCAATTCTCTTACAAATTTTCAACGGTTTTCTTGTGAAAACATTTACTTGTTTACATTGAAATGCTTAATTTGATATCACTGCAAAGCCTTGATCACGTTGTGATCATCGTGATCACATATCACGTTGTCTCACGATCAATTGATGATTTCATTCTAATATGTCAACGGCAAGTAGGATTGATAAAGAGAAGGAACGGTAGAATGACGGTATTCCCTATGCTCAAAGAGTGAAAACAAAGCGTGAGAACCACCTTTTGAGTTTATTTCTGTACAATTGACAAACTCTACAAGTCTGCTGACATCATTTGATGAATGTTCAACTGATGCGACTGATAACTTGGTCATTTTTGAGTTATAATTTGCATATTTTCTCATCGACTAATTGTGCCAAACGGTATCAGTTGCCCTCTCTGAGTCCATCTATAGAAAAGTCAGTGGTTTGTAGCGGTGGAGTACGTGATTCGACCTGTAAACAGATCGGATGCGTGAAGATGAACCATTTCGTGCATTTCATTTTGCTTTGCTCTGCTAATCATTTTAGATTCTTTCGTGATGCTCAATTGTCTTAAAGGAGATACCGCACCAGCAGTATCTCTCGAAGAGGGAACATCACTGGACAGTTGTACGAAAAACAAGATGCTCAATTTCGAATGGAACAATCAAAGTTCATGTGGGCAAAAAATGCAATAAAAAATACGCAGATGCACTCGTGAAAGTCATCAAAATGATACCCTTAATTTTTCGAAAAGGATAAATATGAGTGATGCTTTCATGGAAATTTTCAACAGTGATTACCAATGATCACGGTACTGTGAATTGGTTATGGTAAACG